CGTTTGAAAGGGTGCGAAGGACCAGCGGCACAGGGAGCATACGCGGTACGGCCCGGTATGGCTATAAAATCTCCCGATCAGTGGCGCCGGGACGGACCCGACACCTAGAGTGGAGCACCCACGGGGCCACTCGAAGAAGAACAAATGTGTTGCCATAGTAGAAAAATATGCGTGTGTCTGAAAACTGTAGGTACTGGGGGTACTTACAATTTTTTTATTTGAAAAAGGGGTACCTTATTAAAAAAAAGGTTGAGAAACACTGCATTAAAACATCATATCTCAACAGCCGCTTGCACAGACATTCCATTTAAAAAAATATTTCCCTCATTTTCATTTGCTGTCAATGACAGTTAGGACCCAGATCTATTGTGAAAGGGCTGGCACTGTAATTTTGGAATTGTTCACTACCAGTGTTTGAACCTCTAATGAAGTGCTTCCACACACACAATGCATTAGTTTAGTATTATATTGCAAGGAGATTACAAACTCTGTAGCCATGGCCCAATTTAGAAACTCACTGACGCATTGGTTCAAAAAACATAGAAACTCTATAGGTACACCCAGCAAGTTTTTAAGGCATAGAAAATAAATGGCTTTCATTCAAGGAAATTACAATCTCTGTAGGTATAGTTTGTATGTTCTGTAAACCCTTTAGTCTGGGGTTCAGGGTTTTTGCAGACACACACAACTCAGATCTCCACTGTACTTAAATTGGTGTTAAATGCTATAAAAACTGAATGTGCAGCTCATTGTGAAAGAGGAAACTACTAACCATCATTTCACTGTTAGTCCAGTCTGGAGGAAAGGTATTTTCCTTTACCACGTGATGAAGTCTGGCAACATCAAAGAGAGTTGATCCGTGTTTCCCACTGTTCAGAACTGGCTCCAAGTATTTCCAGAATGTTTCCAGGTCCTTGATAGCTTTAGCTTTCTTCTTTTGTTCAGCTTCTACAACTACAAATGCATAGTTATTAGACAGATTATAGCATAGTTGTATCCAAATATCTTTCTCTCACATATGAATAGTGAGTCTGAGACCTGTGTCTTGAATATTGAGAAGGAAAAATGAATTGCAGGTTGGTCTGTTTTCTTCTAAGTGTTGTTTTAAAAAAAAAATGACCATTCTTAAACAAATTCCTAGAAAAATATGTGAGGTCCAGCCCAACATAATGTTGTAAATACCCAAAAAAATTTAAGGAGGGAAAAAACTTCATAGGATATGGCACTTGAAGAAAAAACAAATAAATGCCTGAAACCCAAAATCTAAAGGTATGTCTGCACTACGTGGCTCCGTCGATGGAGACATGCTGATGAGCTTTGTAGACATAGCAAAATGAAGCGGCGATTTAAATAATTGCCGCTTCATTTACATCAAAATGGCTGCCGCGCTGTGCCGATCAGCTGTTTGTTGGCTCAGCGTGGTAGTCTGGATGCTTGGCGGTCGACATCAAAAGCCTTTGTCAACTGCCCTGTTATGCCTCGTGGGATGAGGTTTATCGGGGCGGTCAACAAAGGCTTTTGATGTCGACCACCGAGCGTCCAGACTACCTCACTGAGTCGACAAACAGCTGATCGGCACAGGGCGGCAGCCATTTTGATTTAAATGAAGCGGTGATTATTTAAATCGCCACTTTATTTTGCTATGTCTACAAAGCTCATCTACATGGCTCTGTCGACGGAGCCATGTAGTGCAGACATACCCTAAGGTTATATTTATCAAAATACTTTGAGCCTAAACTAGTAACCGTTCTTCCAATGCGAGATAGATAACTGTTGTTATCCCCATTTAATAGATGTTGAAACTACGACAAAGAGAGATTAAAGTGCATTTCATCAGTGAAATGTGATTGTAGAAATGGCAGTGTAGGTTTCCATGTTTATTGTATGGTAATGATCAAATTTCAAATATATCCAGATGATGAGAAAAAAAATGTTTGTTTTTTAAACGCCATCTCTGCAACCTCACTCAGGGTTCATGGCCTGATTGTTGGAGTTGCTGAGAATCTGCAGCTGCAAATGTCTTGATTTCATTTGGAGTTCTAGATATTCAGCACCTCTGAAAATCAGGCCTCGTGCTACATTTATTCCTGTTATAACTTCAGTGACCCAGAAGTACCTAAAGTTGATGATCCCAAAAATATGGCAATGGAATTGTTCTAAAACTTTCCCAAGGCCATGCAGGTATTCTGTGGCAGTGATGAGGAGAACCCACAACTATCTTTCCTCAACTAAGGCCAGGACTACACTGGCAGAAAAAAATTGATTCAAAATATACAACTCCAGCGATGTGAATTGTGTCACTGGAGTCAACGTACTTCACATCGATTTTCTGTGGCAGCCCCACAGTGGGAGGTCAACTGGAGAAACTCTCCCGTCAACTTTCCTTACGCCTCACGACAACTAGACTTGCTTAACTGAACCCTGGAAGATAGAGTGTCAATCCTCCAGTAAGTACAGACAAGGCCTTAGGCACTTCCATCTTCTGGAATTTCTCAAGGGTTGTTACCAAAGAAATAATTGAAAAATTAGGTCTGAGTATATGGTACATATATTTGTATGTTGAGTATGACACAGTGCAGTGAGGGTACGTGGCTTGCACCTGGAGCTGTTTGACACCTCTTAATACTGAGTTTCTGACCTTTCAAATGTTTGCCTTAGGCACAGAGAAGGCTTCTGATTAAGCAATGTGGCAGTTTAATATCAAGTCTTAGAGAAAACAAACTTAGGGCAACAATTTATTTCATCCATGGGAATGTTTTCCAAACCCCCTAATGAACATATCTCACTAATACACATGTGAAAGTTTCTCTGTACCATGTGAAACAAATGGGGCAATTTGCTCTGCTTCTTGGCCCTTTGTATTACTAATTGAATCTTGAGTGGCACGGTAGCAAAACAACTATTTACATAAATTTGAAGCAGTGAACACAACATTTTCATATTTATGATCCATATGTTTAGGAAATAGAGATGCATAAAAAAATCTATTCCACAGCTTAGGTACTTCTTTGTCAGATACATCCTATGTTTAAGGTAGAGGGACAATAGCTCAGATCAGAAGTTCTGTCCTTTGGTATTTGCCCTCATTCCTCCTTGTCTTTGTGATTCCAAAGCATATTGTCCCCTAAGTATTAATAGTTCTTCTCATTTAAACCTTCTGTTCTCTTACAATCTCATCCTATTGTTACAAAGGTTAAGGTCTTTGATCAACAAAAGATATCTGATTATTATGGTTTTTATGCTCTTCCCAAACATTCTATGGTAGTTCTACATTGACTGCTTCTGCAAATGTGCTCAAACCAACATGGTTAGCAAACAACAACATATAACCTCAGTCATGTAGAATGCAATGCTATACACAGCCTCAAATACAATTCTAACAGCATAATCAAAGACACTGACTAAGGGGGCACTGCAGTCATTATGAACAGAACAGATTATGAATAGGAGGCGACCAGACAACTCACTAACACCAGATTCTACAAGCCTCTCTCCTGTGATCCCATTAAAGAATACCAAAAAACCTGAAACAACTGCTCATAAAACTCCCTGAAGCTGCTCAGGTCCAAATTTACATTAACACCCCCCCACACCATTCCCCGATCAGGAGTTTTCTATCTGCTACCCAAGATACGCAAACCTGGAAATGCAAGATGACCCATCATCTCAAGCACTGGCCCACTTACAACAGGATTATCTGGCTATATTGACTCTCTTCTCAGACCCTATGCTACCAGCACTCCTAGCTACCTTCGCGATACCACCGACTTCCTGAGGAAACTATAAAATATCAGTAATCTACCTGAAAATACCATCCTAGCCACCATGGATGTAGAAGCTCTTTACACCAACATTCCACATGAAGACAGATTACAGGCTATCAGGAACACCATCCCCGATGAGGGCACTGCACACCTAGTTACAGAGCTCTACAACTTTGTCCTCACCTACACCTACTTCCGATTCAGAGACAATTTGTATCTTCAGGTCCATGGAACAGCCATGGGCACCCACATGGTCCCACAATATGTCAATGTCTTTATGGCTGACCCTGAACGTTTCCTCAGCTCTCGTCACCTAACACCCTTACTCTACTTATGCTGCATTGATGACATTTTCATCATATGGACCCATAGTCAAGAGACCCTTGAAGAATTTCACAGGGCTTTCAACAACTTCCACTCCACCATCAACCTCAGCCTGGATCAGTCCACATGAGAAATCCACTTCCTTGACACTACAGTACAATTAAATGATGGACAAATTTCCACCACTTTATACTGGGAATCTACTGACTGCTACACTTATCTTCAGAGCCGGCTCTAGGTTTTTTGCCACCCCCAAGCAAAAAATGTTTTGGCCGTGTCACCCTTCCCCCTCCCCCCCCCGCTTTTTTTGTCTGGGGAGTGTGTCCGTGTAAATGCAGCTGTGCGGCTTCCTGAGGGGTAGGGGCGCACTCCAGGACATTTTCATCTCCTAGGAGAGCATCAGAGACTCCCCACGTGAGGACAATGGGATGGCAGGTTCATCCACAGCAAGTCAGTTAAAGACTTCCAAAGCATGTAGCTGTTCACATCACCTAGTACTGGAGTCCCGTCCCACTCCTCATTCTGCAAAGGGATTTTATTATTAGAAGCACCTTATAATCAGACTCCAACCCCAACACATAAGCTGTCCAACTCTTGGTGTCCATGGACAAGAATCAGCCTCACTATACAATGAGACAGTTCAAAGGGATTAAGAGAACTTTTGTTTCAACTCCCAAGCTCAACTGTCCAGAACAAGACAGACACCAGACAACAAAACCCCAGTAGCCTAGGACCTATTCCATGAATGCAGCCCTGTGCATTTTCTTTCAGGGATGGATGAAACAGCTTCTGAAGTAGGGTGGATTGATTTAAATAGCTTTGATTTAAATCTCTAATTTTAATCATGATTTAAACCGGCAAGTAGAAAACCTTGGTTTAAATGAGCCATTTATCATTTAAATTATACTTTTAAAATATTTTCCTAAAAGATGGTTGAATCTTATTGATTAGCAACCTTTAAAACATGTTGATTTACAACTAATATAACCTTTATGCCAAATTTGGTGCTTCTATTTACTAACTAGGAGAATACACTCAGCATAGCTACCAACTAAATAAATGCCCAAATAATTGTGTAACTTACATGTAATTAGATTCTTAATTTTTACATTTTTATTCTATTACAAAATGGTGTATAATAGGAACACGTAAGAGACAGGTTTTATCCCATTTATTATTTGCTAAGTGGTGGCTACTTTTTAAAAAACATACAATTTGCATCTACTTCTCTCTGGACAGAAATTCAATTTAAAATAAACAAAATCAGCATTTAATTTTTGTATGAAATAAAATTACCTTAAATGTGAAGGACACATAACAAAGTATCCAAACACATTTTGCATCTAAAATTCATTTATTAAACAAAGGAAATATCCTTAGTGAATTTAACAGATCGAATCTAGTCATCATGTTCCTCAAGATGTTAGAACACTCTCGTAACCAGTTTTTTATTGAGAGAAGAGGAAAACAAGTTTTTCTGCTTCGTCAACTCTCAGTTTTGCAAGGGTGAATGAACTAATCATTGAATTGAACTAGCTGAATAAACCAAAGTGATAAAAACATTCTCTCTTCACCTGCAGAAGAAGCTACTGCTGATGTAAACGCTGGTTCTGGGTTCTTACACAGCAACTTACACCAATGAACTGGTAGAATTTCTTTAAAAGTTGACCGGACACATGTTCTATTTAATTTTTAAATTTAATTCATAAGTTATTTAAATAGGTTATGATAAATTTAGGCCATAACAATTTTTAATTTAATTTTAACGGTATATTATTTAAAACAAAGCCTATTAAAATGGGATCACAATTCCAATTTTAATAAAGCTCTCCTGCCCCAAACAGGAAGGGACTTGGGGACACGGGCACTGGGAACACCAGAGTTCCCCTTCCTCAGCCAAAGGGGGAGGGAGAATCACCTGGGTCTCAGGCAGGGGTGAGGTTTTCAGGACACAGCACAAGAGGGCTGGGTTCCTGGGCAGGTGTGTGTATGTATGTGGGGAGGGTTCAGGGCCCCGAGAGTAGGGGAAGGGAGGATTGATTAGAGAGCCAGACAGGAGATGGGGATCCAGGAGGGCAGCAGGGAGGTGGAGGAGAGGGGAAGAAGAGAAGACGGGGTTCCAGCAGGGTTGCAGTGGGCCAGGAGGTGGGGTGCAGGGTTTTTTTTCTTCCAGTCCATTTTTTTTGTTAATTCCTGACATTACAGAACTAAACGGAAATGGATTAATATTCCACTCTTACATTTCATGATAAACAGAAAACTTCATGAGCCCAAAAAAGGGAAAAGCTCATAAAACTAAGATATGAATCTCAGCATTTTAACAGCTGAACAGAGAAAGGAATTAAAATGCTGTAATTAAAAAAAATCATGAGTGGATGGGTAAAGCGTGTAGAAACGGAAATTTACAAACTAGTTAAAACCTGGAATCTGACTGCTTAGAAACTACACAGATGGGCATGGGGATGAATAGCTGAAGGGGTAATGAGGCGTTTACATCGTCCTAGCTGCTTCTCATTCCACCAGTCTCCGAAGAAAGCCTGACATTAAATAGAAACTGGGCCAGGCTATTGCTAGCTGCAGATTACGGCAACCTGCCTGTCAGTAGATCCTTCCACTGGATTGGCAATTTTGATATGCGCCCCAGACATCTGGAGGATCTCACTGATTTTGTCACCTTGACGCCCAATGATGCAGCCAATCAGATCATTTGGAATGGTGAGTTCGTGAGAAGCGGTTTGAGCAGACGCATCCAAACCTGCCCAATAGCCTTTCACCTCTGGAGGGCAGAGGCCTAGCTGGGGTGTGGGGGGGTCATGGGACAGTGGGCAGGGGCACACAGGCAGAGGGGGGACAGCTGGGGAAGGAGTTTGTCACCTTGACGCCCAATGATGCAGCCAATCAGATCATTTGGAATGGTGAGTTCGTGAGAAGCGGTTTGAGCAGACGCATCCAAACCTGCCCAATAGCCTTTCACCTCTGGAGGGCAGAGGCCTAGCTGGGGTGTGGGGGGGTCATGGGACAGTGGGCAGGGGCACACAGGCAGAGGGGGGACAGCTGGGGAAGGAGGGTT